GCCAAAGTCGCTCACAACCTGTTTGACAAGATCGTCGCTAAAAGAAAGTCAAAAAAAAGTCGGTGCGACTTTGAGGATAACGGAGAAAATCTATCGTCGCGTTAACTTGCACGTATATTTACTGAATAGACAACTGGCGTCGACGATTCATCGTTGTCTTTGAGCGCGGGCAACGGAATACTCGCGACCCAAGTATGCAATTTTATTTCAAAGATTCACGTTGCCTTAAACTTATAGTTTTAAACATCTTCAATTTACTAATCAATGTTTCTGTATATTAGTTTGGAATACCGCGTCCTTCTATATTATTTCTATGCGTCTCCCCTTAATTTTTTCTGCATCAGTATATTACCAAAATTGTATCTTTGACGAACATATAAAAATATACCCAAAAAACCGGTTATATTACATTAAATTGTCATTTACAGGTTCGTACCGGTTTTAAGATTTGAGATAGGCAATTAATTTTCGGTAGGCTCCGAGCCCCTCGGTGGGGACGTATAGTGAGCTGATGATGATGATGATGAATTAATTTTCTATTAATGTATACGTTATAAATGACTGTTGTATGTCTAAATAAGATTAAGGACAGAATTTAAAATCGCAATAATAATTGTAAAGGATTTGTCCGTTTACATTTATATTAAACAATGGTATTCTTTAAAGCAATGTTATTTCTTGTAATTTGTTAGACGTGACGATAGGACTTATTTTACAATTTACGATAAAATTGTTGACTAAACAAAGGCATACCGAAGAATGCGAATTTCCTCTTTTCCTTTGTTCAAATAAATAGACGAAAATCGCTACGAGTAAATGGGTTAACTCATTCTAATGACATTAGGCATTTAGTTTTCACATAATTCAAGAAACAATTAAATTGTCATTTTGATATATAAAATGAATATTTTGTCGTTGGTTGGTTATTATTTTAAAAGCAAGATTTCGTTTACAAAATATCCTGAGAAAACCAACTAGATACGGTACTTTCGTTGCTTTTAAATTGTCATATACTAAAATTGATTAAAATATCACTTATAGCATCAAAAAAATGTTTCTAAGTACTTATTAATATTTTGTTGTGTTACAACTTAACAAACGCACTCAAAGGACGCCAACGGACGCGGTTAAAATAAGAGCGCGAAAAGCGACGCGCGCGCGTGTCGCAGTTTATGTCTGGACTGAACGTTATTATAGCGGCATCTGAAAACTATACTCACGTGTCTTTGCTGTTTCAAGATTATCGCGATTTAAGCACGAGTGTAATGTTAACAATGCCATATTTGCAAATGATTTAATAACCTAATACCTTCACAGCTTACAATATGCGACTAACTGCAAAAAAGTACGTATTTAATTTCTTCTGCGACCTTGAAAAACTAATGGTTACGGAGGAGAACCACTTGATATTATGAAGTCGTATCTCAAATAACGGATATTAAAGATTTATAACTAGGTTTTAATGTGATGCAATTTAATTTAACTATTGACGCTTTAACACTGCACGAGGGTCTTCACGTAGTTTTCAATTCACTTTCAATTTAAAAAGGCAGGAAGCTGTTAACTAAACCGGCACTTTACCAATAAAGATAACAGATCCTTCAAACGACACTGACCAAGTATTGTGTTGATTTGTATTGTTTGTAGATACAATGAGTTTGTAGGAAAATATTTAACGTAGATAAGCCCTTAGAATTTAACAGTGCTATAAACTTTAATGTGTGAATTGACCTTTTGTGTAATTTCAAATCAAACTTATGTTCATTTGCCCTACTCTCTTATTGTAACCTTTACAAGGAAACGTTCAATTTATAAAAAATGATATTGTAAAAAAACTTCAACCACGCTTACAATTAGCTCTTGAGGTATAAAATACGCACTTATTTTATGGAGTTGGGAAATCAATCAATGTAACAGCGCTTAAAACTTACAGGAATAATTTACGAATCTTTTATCAGCTGACAACAAGCAATAAACGCCAAAAATCAGTGCAAATAGCTCATATTTTGTATTCGAAGACAAAAATATTGACAAACTTTTCATTGCTAAAAAATATGCATCGAAGTATAATAAAAGTACTAAACAGTCTTGCATTTTATTCAATATCGAGATTCAAGATCAAGGCCTGCGACCATCTGTAACGACGAGAAGCTTAGACCTTTGCCACACCACTACGACCGCGAAGCGAAGCTAACAGTTTAATATGAACTTGGTAAGTATTATAGTAAGTATAGCTTAACAACTAATCTAACGTAAACATAGTTTGTGCACCGTTTTAGCTAAATTTTCATACCTCTCTTGTTATAAGTATCTTGCTTAGTTTGTGCATACATTATATGCTTATACATTCGAGGCAGTGTGCTTTCAGTTTTAAATCTATTATTCATAGTTTTATTCGAAAGACGAGATTTACGCCACGATAGCCAAATGGTTCGCTTTGTAAATTCAAATGAACTTTAACGTCCCTATTTCTTGGTGTATCAACAAATTCAGCACCACCCGTAATATTAAGTCAATACTTGTCAACCATTTTATTCACCAACTTCAAAACGGGGGATTCTCAATTCGACCTAGTTATTCTTTTACCTTCCTTCTTCCTCGGTCAACATTAACCTTAAATATTGCATACGGAAACCAGACTTACCTTTATTATGGGCACAGAACATTTCAGGGCCACTTATCCTTATTTTACACAGCATAGGAACCTTAGCATTCTTTGATTGGAACACAACTAACGTATGCACACGTTTCCGTGGGTTAGCGTCATAACATGTGTATCCTTAAAATTTTCTTTCCAAACTATTTAAGCGGTTTTACTTTTAATATTAGTACTGTCACATTCTGGTGTTGTATTTATTTAAAAAAAAAACACCCCAATTCCGATTCCGAAATATTGTGGCCATAGACAAAGTGCATGTTAAAACTATGTCAAAATATTTCCAGCAAAATACTTTTCTTCTAAATATAACACTAGCTAAACTTAATTACACCACCTTTTCTTAAAAAATTAACACAAAATAACTGTAATAGTGAAATAGAGTAATGGCTGCAACGTATGGAAATATACGTTGCTGTTTACTTTCTGCCTTGTATTGAAATAAAAAAATAGCTTTTATGGTACCTATATGTAAAAAAAATGCATTAATATAGTTTGTCATAACTTTATTAGAGTTGTTTCCCGCAAGTTTAGCTTAAATAAATTCTGATGTCACATCACTTACTTAATGTAAGAATCGTAATTATTTAAATAATAGTCAACCTGTATTCCAAAGCAAAAGAACTATGCAACATCAAACGTATAAACGTTTTCAGATATCTTGACTGCTCTTAATTTCGTCGGTCGTAGCGTGATGCGGGTGAAGGGCACTGCACAGCGCCGATGACATTGTGCCGTCAAGATATTTGAAAAGAACTATACCAGTAAGGTACTTTACAGTGTATTAACACTGCCTTAACATTTAGGAGGACAATACACAAATGTTGTGAAATTGAAAACTCACCTTTATATTTGCTAGTTAATAAATTATTGCCAAATTGTTATTCATCAACAAAGTTACACATCTCATTATAAAAGTCTTAAGAGCTAAAATATACAATTTGCGTCAGATAAAACACATTGGCTATTTATATGGAAAGACAATGGTAACAGGATATATTGGATATTTCGTTTAATTTGGTACTTAGTAGATAATTAGTTAAAGTTTTCATTGCAGAAATACACGTAGAAAAACATGTCCCTCTCATTAAATTATTTAAACTTTCGTGAGAAATTATAATAAAATTATATAAAAAAACGGCTAACCACTCACGTATATTCGTTCGGTAGTGGCACCAGTCCCACTCACCCTAATGAAGGGCCCCCGATGGGCTCGAAACTAGTCGCTGTCGCCACCGGATGAATATACGTGAGTGTTTAGCCGTTTTTTATATAATTTTATTATAATGTCTCACAAAAGTTTAAATAATTTAATGAGATGTCTCTCTCATTAAATTATTAAACTCTCACTCGTACAAAACATGTCTATGTTTTGTACGAGTGTTTTGAAATGTAAACACGATTACAAAACATATTTTAAAAATGATATACGCATAAGCCATAGAAAGCTTACAGATTTTTATTATATAGAATAATTATTGCAGCACTTTATAACATCCATTCCAATGAGTTTGTTGAAGAAATTTAATTGTCGTTTTTTTTAAAATGTTTTATGCAAATTTAAAAACAAGTCTCATGTAAATTTTAAAACAAGATCTGACATCGACTTGGAATTTCATATCCTTTTTGCTTAACGTACCTAAATACACGCAAAATTTTCTATTATATATAAAACTAAATTTTTTTCCTACATATCCATCGCTAACTATCCTTCATTATATAGTTATGTTGCTATGTGCTGAACGTAATATGAATATTAACTGTCAAATCATATCGGCTCATCGCCAAAAACATGTCTCGATCTTAAACTCGGGTTTCCAAAGCACATTTAAAAAGTAAATATGTTTTTGTGATATTCAAAAAAGTCAAATATGAAAGCGCCTTAGTTATATTGCTTTTCTGAATATAATACTAGCCTAAAGCTAAATAACTATTAATTTTATGAATAAAATTCCATTAATTACCCGCCATTTCTGTCAATTGAAACAAAATATTTTTGCAACAGAATATATCAAATCAATAATAAATTGATTAAGTTAGGTATAAAATTTGCTACCTTATTGGATACCAGACAGCACTTATTTTGCTTGGCCTAGTGGTGATCGACGATTAAAAGCTTAATATAATGGATATTAAGTTTTAAATTCAAGTAACAACCTTCTTTGCCATCTTCCTTTCAAAACATAATACTTTCTAAATACCTTTTATTTACATACGAACTCATATTTTTTATTTAATCATGTACACGATTTGTTTATTTGCAATAAATATGGAACACGATTTGACATCTTGCATTAATCATATCAGCGTCAACAACATCGATCATCTCTAGTCTGGTCTCAAATGAAATGAAATAAAAAAAATGTTCAGTCTCAGTTCTAATTTTCGTCGTAGAGCGGAGTGGCATCTCCCAGCGACATGGAGCGCGGCGAGGTGTTGGTGTGCGGGGTGGAGCGGACGGAATGCGAGCGCGACGACCTGCCCGAGCTGTGGCCGCGGTCGCGATCGCGCTCACGGTCGCGCTCGCGCTCGCGGTCATGGTCGTGACTGTGACTGTGGCCGTGGCCATGGCTGTGACTGTGACTGTGCCTGTCCCCGTGGCCGTGCGAGCGGGACTCGTGTCGCGGAGTGCGCGAGTCGTGCCGCGGCGTGCGCGAGTCGTGTCGCGGCGTGCGGACGTCATGTCGCGGGGTGCGGTTGTCGTGCCGCGGCGTGCGGTTGTCGTGTCGCGGCGTGGGCATGCCCTCACTGCTGCGCGGAGTGGAGGGTGTGTCGCGACCTGTTCTATGACGGACCCAGTCCTCCGCCGCCTTCTGCCAGTCGGAGGGCTCTGAGTATATGGGCATGGCGGGCGTGGGCTTGTGCCTGGGCACCGCCGGCGTAAGAAAATCGGGCTGGCGCGGTGTGGTCGCGAACGGCGTCATGTAGGGCGTCTGCGCGGAGGGCGTGTAGGGCGTGTTGATGTAGGCGGGGCCGGGCGTGTGGGCGGGCGTGTGGAAGGCGGGCGTGTGCGCGGCGGGCGTGTGGTACATGGAGGTCATGCCGTGTGGCGTGCGCATGGCGGGCGTGCGCTGCGCCGGCGTGCCGGACGGCGGGGGATCTCTGAAGTGCTCCTTGAACCACTTTAGCAGACCACCCAAGGAATCGAACATCCTCTGCCGGAACTTGTAGCCGTCCGGCGTAACCGATATGTACTCGTGCGTGCATCTCGCGCGAGGTAAGTAAGAGAGCAGAAACCGTCCGGGATGATTTTTGGCTGCGGAAATGACGTAGTGTATTTTGTTGGGATTCTTGGCTTTTTCTTCCTTGAGCCACTCCTCCGCCTTGTCCCTCATGCCGCCCAACGGCTTGTAGTATTTGTAGGAGATAAGGTCGCGCGCGTGTCCCGCCATCGGAGTCACATGGCGCGCTATAATTTCATCTAAATCTTCGAATTCTGAGCCCTGTATCCATAGACTTCGACCTAAAATGAACCACACTCATTGAACAAATTTATCATAGGTAATAATGTGCCAATTTCAGTTTATAGTTAACGCACCTAGCGAGAATGCATTCTCTTTTCCTTCCTCTCTGACGTCGATATGTTGACAGATACCATCCGCCACTTTCCATGTAACTGTCAAATGATCAGATCCCTGCAATGAAATAAGAATAATTAAGGCAAATAAAAAAAATATAATTTCATGTTTAAAATGTATTGTCCTATTAGTTAAGGGGTTTATGGTGTAGGAGTGTGTGCTGCATAATAGAGTATATGGTTACCTTACTGCTCGGTCGTACAATAACTTCACCCTGCGCCATGTTCTCCATCAACTTCTCTGCTTCAGCAAAGGAGATGTTCTGGAAAGCGGGATGTACGATCACCCGCTTGACGTACTGCATACGCTCCTTCGTCTGCTTGGCCTCCTTATCTTTGCGCACATCTTTATCTTCAGACTCCTGGTCATAGTATGGGTCTTTTGATGGTCTGGAAAGTAATTAAAAACCGTTAATAAATTAAATCAAAATTTATCTTATTTCACACTAAAAATTTATATAATTTAAAGTCACATATCACCTCCATTCATTATTTTTGTCAACTAAATCGGACGATTTTGATGTACAGTCAACAGAGAATCGTTCGACGTCAATCTTGAGTACGCGGCAGTGCACCGTCTGTCCGATGCGCACGCGCTCCGTGGGGTCGGTGACGTGACGGTCTGACAGGTTCTTAATGTGGATGTAACCGGACACGCCGTTGTCCAGACGTATGCGCACGCCCGTCGCCTGGCCCGGACACGCCCCCGCGTCGAAATGATTCCACACCTAACAATCCAAACTTCCATCTTACTAATATTATAAAAGCAATTTGGATGTATGGATGGACGGATCGCTGACATTTGGCATAGACGTAAAACATAGTCTGAAAGGACACATGGGCTTTTCATTAAGTTTTTTTTTTTCATTTCGCGCAGATGAAGTCGGAGGCGACAGCTATAACATTATAAAAGAATCATCCTTACCTCAGATAATTCAGGGAAATCATTTTTGTGACAAAAAGGACATTCCCATAGGCCGGTCTCGTCGTTCCTGACGGGGTTGGCCTGGTCCAACATCTCTCTCTGCGGCTTCCTGTGTGAAATGCCAACCACCGACGCCAACACCATCTTGCCGACGTAGAAAGTTTCGGGCGTCTCTTTCGTCAATATATCAAACATCTCCTCGGCCGTCGGCGAACGATACGGAACTCTTAGATCCTTGTACCTTGAGTTCAATTCTGCTCGTATGTCATATAACGTTATGCTCTTATTGCCGAATCCTTGCCGCTCAAGTTCCTCAGCGAAGGCGTCAAGGTCCAAATCTTTTAATCGTTCGGGCGCTTCCAAAATTTCTTCTAGTGCACCAGCCGGGTTCGCATCCTCGTCTTCGTATTCCAAGGCATCGACTGCCATTTTACGAGCCCACTCGTACGTCTCAGGATGAACTCTGGAACCATCGAGCACTTCTATATACGCTTCCGTGCTGTCACCTAGACTGCTAGTGTCTATCTTGATGAAGCCTGAACAGTTTATGAAGACCTTGGGACCCATGTGACAGACTGTAACCAGCTGAGTTCTGTTCTCGAGTTTCTGATTGGTCTGTTTGAAGAGTTTTATCAACGCTTGAGCTTTCCTCGGACCCAGGCCGCATACAAACTGCAGCAACTCGGTACCGCGACCAGTGAGAATCGCCTCGTTCACGTCTACACCCACTTCGTTTACTCGATTCACGAATTCAAGTTCAATACCCTCAAGAAGATCTTCTTTACTGATCTGATCTTGCAGCGGATGATATCTGAGACATAGAATTTCTTCGTCTGGTCCGCAAAGCTGCGATATTTCCATGAGTGGATCTTGCAGAAGGCGACCCTGACAGATAGCTTGACGTAACATGTCAGGATATTCTCTGAAGTCGTTCTGTGGAAAATAAACAATCATTAGTAATATATTTTTACGCAACTTTAAACACTTAAACAATGAAGTATGTTTAGATCCGACATGGACGCATACTTTAGATAGTCTTTCCATATAAAGCAGTCTTTCCCAATGTGGGCGATAACGCCCCCTTTTGGGCGCTGCAGGTCTCAAAGTGCGGGTTATAGTAAATGTTTCGTTTAGAATTCTCCGTTAATATACATATATAGGTCACAATAATTAATTAATTTAATTTGAAGTTACAGTGGTTTTAAATATGTGAAAACATGGGAGCACTAAAAAAATATTTATTCACAAAGTGGGCAGTAGACTTTATAAGTCCATGTTCCATTCCCACGCTATTCAGGTGAAAAAAAATATATAAAAATTTTTAAACTGACCCTGCCGCGTATACTGTTGCTGTATATCTTGCTGATGTGGTTGTCAGCGATCTCTATTGGTATGCGCGGGAACTGCTCGTCCTCGACAAGACGCTGCACGCAGTCGGCGACGTCCGCCTTCACGTTGAGCGCCTCGCGCGACTCTCCGCCTATCACCACCACATGTGGCTTCTTACGCAGGATAAACCTAACAAATATGATTATCTCATTGAAACAGTCTAACGAAATGTTAGAAAAACTATACTTCGTATTTAATTACTAGCTGTAGCCCGCGACTCTGTCCACGCAGAATTAAAAAAACACTTAGTAGCCTATGTGTTTTCCAGACTATATTCTACATTTATCCCAAATTTCAGTGAGATCTATGCAGCCGTTCTGGTAAAACCTTCAAACAAACATCCATCCATCCATCCAAACATTCGCATTTATATTATTAGTAAGAAGGAATATTTTTGTCATATTTTGAAGATTATAAAGTCACATTCAACAGAGACAAAAAAACAAAAATGTTTTCTATTAAACTGTCATTATAATCAATCTTTCATACATTTATAAAAATAATAGATAATGAAATCAATGTTTGTATGTCTGCTAATTGTAATGAAAAAGGTTTAAATAACATAATAGTAGGATGATAAAACTGCTAAAGATTTATAACCAGAAAAATGTAAAAAATTCAATTGACCTGCGTAAAGCTGTCATATCTGCCTCCTTGTTCTGTCGCTCGGCAGCGTCCCAGGCGTTGCGGCGGTACATGAGGTGCGGCAGACGCAGGTGATCCGCCACCTCGCCCCCACCGGACACCAGGCACGCGAACGCGCACTGCGCGCGGTCCGGCACGTACGCGATTGACATCACGCGCAGACCTACACAATAGGTTACAACATTTACTGCCGCACTTCTTAATCCACACTAAGTGGTGCAGTTAAGGACTTTGAGTGTAGCAGTAGCATTATTCTCTATTGTTTTCGTCTAAATCACAATAATATTTTGTATAAATTACCGTTGGAAGCGTCCCACTCGTCATCGTCGTCATCCGACACTCGCGATTCGTATGGGGCCACCTTTAACCAATCGTATAGCCGACGCCGACAACACCTGCAACAAAATAAATCTGAATAAACATGTAGTCATAATTTAAAAATACTGAAAGAAAATATGTATCAATGCATGTGATACACGTGTTATGAAACGGTGTGCGCGTGCAACGTACTTGAGCACATGGTCCTTGGCCTCCTGCAGCAGCAGCGCGTGCAGCTCACGCCGCAGCTCGGGCAGTACGATCTTGCCCAGCGCCAGGCCCACCGCCTCCGCACGCAGCTCGTTCCACGCCTGCACTGTGGCTGCGAACTCGTCCTACGCAAACACACATACATACATACAAACATCAATACATACTTTGTTATTTTTTATAATAGGATTGTTACATATCAGTGTTTGTATTACCTTTTGATATAACTGTTTGAGTTCTTCGATGTAACTAGGGCTGGTGTTTCCTTCGATCTGTTCACTGATCTTCACCTCCAGCAGCCGATCCTCCGCCGCCATCGACAGCTTCAGGAACTGGTCGCCAGTCAAGTCTCGCACTGGCTTCTTCTTCAAATACTTCAAGCTTATAAAAACAACAATACAATTAATGTAAATCCTTTAAAGACTTAATTAAAACAGCTGTGTATATTTCTTATTAAATATCTTAGTGGCCCAAGGTCATCGACAATCCCGCTACACCTCACTACACTAAAAGTATGTTCAACGCAGCGACTCACATGAAATTCACAACCGCTAAGATATCTGAAAACATATTTACCTAAAGCATGCGTGGCTCTCGTCGATCTCCTTGAGTCCGCGCGGCGTAGGTCGCACAGAGAGCGTGGCGCGCTCCCGCAACGCGTCCCTCAGCGCACCACGCAGCAGAGGCTCGCGCGCCAGCTGCACACCGCACATGTACACCGCACGCCGCACCACCTCCGCCGCAGACCCGCTCGCACCGCACTACACCATGTCACAATACATGTTACAACATGTTTGCTCCAATACCAAATGCAACCGCAAACATTGGACCAAAACTCAAACAAAACACCATATCTCGAATTTTCTTTTCTCATATCTTCGCCGTATGTACTCTGTCTTTTTATAACTACTTACATATTACATATTAAAAAATAGATATCACTAGCTGTCCCGCAGAACTCTGTCTGCACGAAATTAAAAAAACATAATTAGTGGCCTATATGTTCTTCCAGATTTTGTTCTATATGTATGCGAGATTACATCGAGATCCGTTTAGCCGTTCTGGAGATACATCTATCCATCCGAACATTCGCATTTATAATATTAGTTAGAAGTAAAATTCATACGTATGGGGCGGCGGCCTCTAGCGGCGGTACAGCGGGTTGCTCCACCTCATGCCGCTGGTAGTTGTCACGCACGTTCTCCGCAAACTGCTCCGGTGTTAGACCGAACATCTTTACCAAGGGTTCTAAAGAGTAACAACAAATAATTATTTTAACATTGCTAAAAAATCTTTTTTTGGCCGCCTTCACAAGTGCAATAGTTCTTTAAAATTTTCACAATAACTAACAATAATTAATATCGATTTAATATTGCAAATCTACTGTTTAAACCACATCTGCCTCCAACTAAGGTGATCACAAAACTGAACGCACCAATGCCAGCCTTCCTGCAGAGCTCGTAGGGACCGGACCTCACGGCGTACTTCATGTCATGCTGTGGCGCGGCGTCATCCGGCAGCGCCGCCTCCACCGCCGCCACAGCCTCCTCCGGGTCCTCACCATTCCTCTCCGCTTCCTCGCGAGCTGCTCTCCTTTATACAGAACATTTAGTAAATAAAGCCAGTCAATACTCAAATTTGAATTAGATTACTATTTTTGATGTTTATTACAATAGTCAAAAAGTTCTAAAAGATGAAGGTGAAGTGTTGGTTTACACTGTAACAGTTGTAATCCAGTGTCGGATTGGTTCACTGCACTGGTATAATGTAAACGGGGCATCAGTGCCACACTAAGAATCGTTGACCAATTTTTTTATTTTGTATAATAATTAACTCTTACTTCTTCTCTTCCAATTCTTTCTGCCTCTCCTTAGTCCGCTGTACCTTCTGCATTTCTGGCAGATCATTGGAGTAGTACAGCAGGAAGTGTGTGTGAACATCTCGCAGCTCTTCTGGCGTTTGAACGTTTTTCAATCTAAACAATTAAATTTAAACTAGGATAAGATAACATTTCCAAAATATTTATTGATTAAAAGACATTGCACCTTAAAAGATGAAAGCACTAATATTTAAAAAAAAAATAATGTATCTGTATAATGGTATTATTTTACCTTTCAATATCCTCATCCTTTATTAGTCTCATATTCTCAGGTATTGGTGCATCGGGGTTGGCCATCACCTTATCCAGTTGGAAGTCACGCATATTCTCCAATAATTTAAGGAGATTTTCCTTACGTTGCTTTAACTGACACCACTGAACAGAATAAATTACATATATAAGCACATTCAATGGTACCAACTTCACAGTAAAAATCTAATTTAATCTATTCATTCGTTCATCTATTTGAAATCGAAGGAGTTTTTAGTATTGCTACATGTTCCAATTACATTTTTTTTAAAATCATTCCAATTATTTATTGTATGCATTCCAATCATGCTATCGGTCTATTAGGCCTACATTCTCCAGATATAGACATTTACATTTACATGTACAGAAATTTATCAAAATTCTTACCTTGGCATCATACTTGTATACTTTCCAGAGATCATTAATACTAAGTTCAGGCTGAACATATTCTTTACGATAGAATGCAATGAATGGCACTTCCAATGTCTGGTTTCGCATAAAATCTAGTGCTTGACGAATCTTCACAACAGTACTTGAACCTCTAAAAATAAATAAAATCGAACGTTAATTCGTTTTCTTGAAAAAATAATTTTAAGATTTACTTACTATGTATTTCTTGATTTGTCAAAACTTCAAAAAAAAGTTTTGGGTTTCTATTTTTTCTTTTTGGAACTTATGACGTCACAATGTGGCGAATAAATTTTCTTATTTAACATTTACCTTCGTGTCCTTTCTCTCGCCTCTTGAGAATCAGCCTTTGAGACGGGCGCTTTGAGGAATGCCTGTTTGTATATCCATTCAGCCTCATCTTCTAATTCCGTGCTGCCTTCCTCCACTGGCGTTATTGGTACTTCACGAATTTGCATACGCTCCGGTACATCCGTTTTACGTATCTATAACAATATGATACTTTAGAAAAAATCTGACAAACAAGGAAAAAATTGTAAAGAATCCACACTGGGCTAGGGTGGGTGACGAACTACAAGTGCCCTCAAGGGGCTACTCCTTAAAGTAAGGCTGGACCCCCTTCGGTGTTGGTTATGTAAGTTGATTACAATTAAATCTATCCAAATATTATAAAATTTGAGTTTAAAGTGAAGTGATTTTCAAAATTACCTCATTATCTAAATCCGTAAAATGGCTTCTCTTCAATTCACTTGGCTCATAAATTTCAAATATGGATTTTTTGCTTGGACGTTTCGCTTTGCCTTTCTTAGTCCTTCTCCTTTCTCCATCTTAAAATAGAAACAGTATTATGACAACAACAACTTAAAATAATTGACACTAAAACAATTTATCTAGTGATTTATTCATCACCAATTAAATACCTTCATCTTCTTCATCTTCAATATATTCATCAAGATCTTCATCTTCCTCGTCTTCATAATCTTCTTCACCATATTTCTCAAATTCATCATAATCAAAATCAACACCAAATATATCTTGACCTTCTTGAAGGGAACTGCAAAGGAGTCATAATTTTTTTTAATTAATAAATTCAATTAAATTCATTTTTACTTTTTAATTTAGAAATTAATAATTAGTTTATTGTTATTTTTATTTTTACTTTTTAATGCACTCTTTGTATTTTGTTTTGTTTGTTAAAGAATAATTGTCTTTATATAACATATAGATTAAGAAGGTACCATTGATATTGTTTATGTGACACGGAAGAGCGGGACTTCCAATCACAAGCCCGTTATGGATGCTTAAATGGAAGTCCCGGCACAAATGTTAGTATGTACCATTTTTGTTTAAGCAATAAATCATTTTTCATTTTTTCAATTGAACCATAAACAATACAGATATAATTTAAATAAAATTAATCGCTTATAGTGTGTGTAGATATGATATTTTTCACATAATACAACATCTAGTAAAGTGTTTCTTTAATTATATTAAGGTATTACTTACGCATCAGTGAAAATGGGCTTTCGTTTCTTCTTACGTTCCGCAATTGGTCGACCGTCATCGTCTACTATAAAATCATCGGCATCTGATTCCAACTCGTCATTTTCATCATCGTATTCCACTTCACGAGGCGCCGCGGATTCTGAACGATTTTCATCCTCCTATATGAAAAATTTTAAACATTATGTATTCTGTATTTCGAAAAAATTATACTTCATTATATCATATATGAAAAATCATTCATTATAATTCATTCATTATAATTCATTATAATTCATTATATCATATATGAAAAATTTTAAACATTATGTATTCTGTATTTCGAAAAAATTATACTTCATTTAGGCAACAAAAATAGCACCCAAAACCATTTGGAATGAAAGCATAAATGTATAAATGTGGAAAACGTAAGAGAAGTGTACCAGGACCATGCCAAATGGAAGAATGTTGTTTTACATAGGTACATGATCACAATACTAACCTCATCAGATCCTCCAACAAAAAGTTTTTCAGCAATAACTTCTCTTTCCAAATCTGGGTCATCTGCTCCGTCATTGTCACTATCATCATCCTCCAAACGGCGCAAACGCTTAAACTTATTCTGCAAAAATATGTATTTTTAATTTTTATATTACACAGGGCCTTTTACTTAATAAACTTATTATATTGTTACTTTCATACATATGAATGTTGATGGTCATTGGTGACACTTAATAGCATATATACAAGAAATTTTTCTTCATTGCTGCAGCCTCTCTAAACTGGTCTTAGTTATTGTGTACCAATACTCCACTTCACAGGCAATAACCATGTTAAACAAAACTTACTCTTGCAACTTTAACCCCAAGATTTTCTTCAATAAGATCATAATCTTCATCTTCTAATCTGTCATCCAACTCGTCGTCACTTTTCTTTCTCTTCTTTGGTCCGACACTAGCATCCGAGTCCTCTCCATCACTATCCTCTTCAATTGGTGCATCATCTATCAAATCTTTTAACTCCTCCCGAAGTCTCTCCTCATCATCTTGAAAACAAAGATACTTTTTACTTAAATACCTCAAATCAGCTCCTTAACTTTAAACTAGAATTGAGACATCTAATACATCTTGTTTTATGTTAACTAATTCAGCATGTATTTATTTCTGCATGTAATAACTTGCATTTACAAATTAAGAAAAGCGCCACCAAATGTATTAATTATTGTTTTACTAACACTAGAAGGCATGTTATCATTTCATTCCATTGAGAAGAACCTAATAACCTAAAAATTTTGTAGCTATAAATTGAACAACAAGACGAATATATGGGTTTAAGTTATTTATCCGAGACTATAAAGATAACTCCTAGCAAGGAGGTCACAAAAGAAAGGCAAATAAAGCGCTACTTTAATTAGCACAAACCTTCTTCTTCTTCGTCCTCGTCATCGCTTTGAACAGCAGCTTTACGCTTCGGCTTTTTACGTTCTGTGGGCTGCTCATCCTCTTCCGAATCCAACTATACAAGCACAAAGTCTTTTCAAGTCTTGATAATGATTTAATTGTTAAAATAAACAAGAGAAAACTTACTTTTTATTATACTAGTTTGTATTAGTACTAACCTCGCTCTCCTCTGCCTCCGATTCCAAGAAATCTGCCATTATTAACTTTTATGAAACTAACTAACGTTTTTGTCTAAAATAATACACAAAAACTATAACTTACACAAATTAAAACCTAAATAAAAATAATAATTACGAAAAGAAATCGGTAGACATATCGTATTTTTCCTCTATTCTCTATGCCTATCCGTGAAAACCAAAATGCAAAACTGCACCTGGGTTGCAAGTTTGGTTCTTTACTCGTAAACAAAAATCGATATTTTAAAGAAAACCCTTTACAAAGCTTGTTCTGCTTTGTATTTCATATCTATTTCAACGAAAAAATTACTGAAGTTAAAATTTAATGGAAAAATGGAATTAGTTAAAACGTCCACCAATTGTTGTTCTAATCCCTTTTTCAAATCATCAACTTCTCTTATCTTGCTATAAATTTTTATCACTTATCATTTAAGCTTTTCCGCTTATTTTGAATTCTCGAATCGAATTAAAGTGACTTTGTTGACATCTTAATTCTTGACACCAACTTGACACTGACATATACGTCAAATCAATCTATGATTATTGTTATCTTATCAACAATTTGTGGAATTAAAAGAATAAATTGAAATACAAGCCAAGCAAAGACTTGTTTTACATTCTAACGTTAAGAATGTTATGTAGACAATTATTAAATTCAATATAAAATGAGTGCGCAAAAGCCTATCGTTAAAAATGTACTGCATGCAGGGCAAAAGTATATTCCTATCGCCGACGGCAGTAAGGTAAAATTTTACAAATTGCCTTTACAGTTAATCTTAACAATTAGATTTGAAATTTATTTCGATTTGCAGGCACATTTCCATTTTCAAACATGGAAATTAGGAAAAGAAAAGATACTTATTGACGACAGTAAAAAGATTGGCAAAAAGGAACCAATGGTTTTAGTCATAGGTCATAAATTCAAACTAGAAGTATGGGAAACAATAGTAAAATTAATGGCTGTTGGTGAAGTTGCTAGTTTTCGTGTTAAGAAAGAGGTGAGCAGTCTTGCAATTCAAACTTCATGTATTTTTATTTTGTCTCGACAACTGAACATGCTCACTTTCTAATACCAATTGAATGTGATACATGTTGAGTGTTAAATATTTAAATAAAATCAAAACATGTTCAGTGCTACTGGTTACTTAACTATCACATGATTAAACCAATCTATCTATTTGTCAAAATAATTTATATGTGAAATTTAGGGTTTAACTAGAAAATTCTTACATTAACAAACAAATACAATGTTGTAAAGTGCAATAACAATTATCCATAGCTAGTGTACAGCTACCCGTTTGTATCAAAGACATTGAGGGACCTGGGCCAGGAACAGCAACAAATAAAACACACATGCACAATGACATTGCACACAGAAGGCATTGGATATTCAGACCTAGATGACTTGATAAGGAATCCTTGTGATTTGGAATTTATTATAGGTAACTTGCCCTTTCTTAGTCCACTTTCCCGCCAGTCATGTTAAATTCATGTATTGTGCTTTTAGTTATCTTATTATTATAATTAAAGCAAATGTTTAGAAGAGTGGATAGAGGGATATTTGTTTTAAAGCATCTCTTGGATGGCTTAACAAATCTTGATGAAACTTGGCACAATTGTAGAACATATAGGCTGCTTATAATTTTTTTTTAATTCTGTGTCGATGGAGTTATAGACTACAGCTGTAAAGTATGAAATTCATATACCGTTCCGCGTACCAGAGATAATATGCATGTGTTCCTCTTAAATTTAAGAATATGAGCCAGTACAGTCCACACCACTTGTAATACTATTTTTATAAGTTATAATAAGATTTGAAGTTCATTCTTGTATACACTTTTATATTCATTAGAAATTTATCATTTATCACTAATTCATAATATCATTATTGTTAAAAAGAGGGTTTCTTTTGTTATAGAGTTACTTAAAGTCGAGAGATCAGATGAATATGAAAAAGAAGTCTGGCAACTTGACATAAAACAAAGGTTGGAATTAATACCCACATTGAAAGAAAAAGGCAATAAACTATATGCGGAAAAGAAATTCACAGAAGCAGAAGATGCATACAGTCAAGCTATAGCAATCTGTGAGCAACTAATGATAAGGTATTTATGTTTCCTTTTATGTTTACTTGATCAATTTCATAAAAAAAATGTAATGGTGCTGAAAGTGTTAAGAATTTGCCTTTAAATGTCTTTCTTATTTTGTAACAGGGAAAGGAAGACTGATGAAGAATGGATAACCTTAAATAAAATTAAACTGCCAATTCTACTTAATTATGCACAGGTTAAACTAGTCCAAGAAGATTTTTATGCTGTTATTGAGCATTGTAATACTATTTTGGAATACGATAAAGGTAAGTTTAAGAAACATACTCTGTGTTATTCAATGATTATCAAATTTCAAACAGATTCTCTTAATGGAATTTTCTTTATTTTTTTAATAAATATTTTCCTGAATTTAATGATAAATGATTAGCGTTTAATTAATGCCAATAAATTGCCCTTAGATGTGTTTGAAAACCTTCTTATAAAAACTGCACATGTTTTAACGTCACAAAAAGAATTAATTTATATTCTATTATGCTTTAATCTTTGGCAACTCCTGTCCTGAAATGGAAGAAAAATTACGTGTATTTTTTGTTACAGATAATGAAAAAGCTTTATACAGACGTGGCAAAGCTCATGTTGGAGCATGGAACCCAGATAAGGCTGAGGAAGATTTTAAACATTTAAAAGCTGTCAACCCCAATGTTGCAACAATTGTAGATACAGAATTAGAAGTCATAAAGAAGCTACGGAAAGAAAAAGCAGAACAAGATAAAGATGCATTAAAAAACCTATTTTTAAAAGAAAATGAAGGAATATAATATTTGATATTGTTATTATATAGAGCATATTTAATCCATTAACTGTTTATGTTTATAACCTGAAATGTCCATGATTGTAGAAAAACTTTCTTAATGGATCCATGAGAACTATTGCATTTGACCAAATTGACCATTTAACCATATTCATTGAAATATGGTCATGTTCGAAAAAAGATTTGTCTAAAATGATACGGTTGTGATTCATCATTCTTATTATTATTTAAATCGATCATCAAAACGGTAGAAAGAAACTTGGACTTATTTATATTTTTGTGTGAAATAGCGTTTATTGTGTAGTTATAAGCAGCTAATCTTTGTTAAAATCCCAAGCTAATACTTACCATATAATTTTATACTTATTAATGAAACGCTTACTAATATTAACCAAAAGAAATATTAAGATTGAATGTAAAATGACCTTTAATACAGAATTATAACTTAATTTTAGGACTTAATGTGTTATATTGAAATTGTTTCGTTTCCCTAATTTTATGTATGTGTATGTGGTAAATAAATGACTGCTAACAGATCTTTAATTTCACTTCATCCAAGTATCAAGTACCAAGTCTTTTATGAAAAGTGTGGCGATGTCATGTACAGCACGAAATCTTTATCACTCAATTGGTTTATTTACGTCGGCTTTTATTTCCCACAAGAAAAATTATCAATTGACTAGTATTTGTATGACTTTCACCATTAAATCTAATACAGAACTTGAATAGCATTAGACTTTCAACTCAAGCATTATTCACTTTGAACGAGTTAACTCGATACATCAAATTTTGTGTATATGATTTTTTAGCAAATCTAGCAACTATTTTGGACATGACAATCATGACACATGACATAATATAACCTACAAAAAGTTTCCGCCATAACCTTAAATATTGTTTGTTTTTATGTCAGAAATAAGTGTTTAACTTTGTTTTTATAATTATGACTGAGAATAATGATACGAAACCTAAAATCGAAACTGAATCAACAGAAAACACAGGTCTGAAGGAGGAATATGCCTATTTAGATCGAGGGGGATTTTCATCGGAGAAATTTAAGATTGAACTTCGGGGACTACCAAAATTTTATGGTATCGCTGTAAGTAAAGTGAAGTTTATTTAAAAGAAAATTCACGTACCAAGGCATTTTGTGCCTTTAATATCTTTAACTTAGCCGTTATATTGATCAGTTCCCTAATTGTTGACTAGGTGGTTAAAAACCCAAAGATACACATCAAAACAAAATTTTTAGAAATGCATTTACTAACAACTACATTGATTTTAGGAACTAAAGAAATTAATGAATCAAAAACTGGGCCTGAACACAAGTAAAATTAAACGACCAAAAAATGGAAGTCATTGGCTGTTTGCATGTTTCCAAAATGAAGAAGAAAGGTCAAAAGCTATAACAGCGCTTAATGGATTTTCATGGAAAGGTTGAGTTAACTACTATAAACTTAAAGCAAGGTTCTTTTGCTTTTAAAATCATAAAATACTGCATCCTACAAATTCATATGTTAATAATTTGTTTGTGTGTAGGTAAAACACTTATAGCTGAAGTTGCCAAGCCAGCACCAGACCCACTTGTGAGGAAGAGAAAGCTGGAGGAAGAGGGAACGGGTACTGATAAGAAGAAAGGTGATGAAAATAATAAAAGTCAGGAAGAAAGATTGAAAGATGCTACCATACCTTATTGGAATGTACCATATGAGGAACAGGTATTCTTTAATATTATTTAATCTATTATACTGGTACCGGGAAAAAATCATTTTAATTTTTTATGTTTAGCTTTTTTGTCTTATTTATTAAATAGTTTGCCTAACAAGCAGGTTTATAAGAAAACTATTCTGCCTATTATCATTTTAGTAGTGTTCAATAATTTCTTTTACTTTGGTTTTCAGTTGAAACTTAAAGAGAAGGAAATAAGAAATATTCTTATGAAATATGATAATGAAGTATGGAAAATAAATAAAGAAAGACGGGACGAAATAGAAGCAAAACGGAAACTTCACAATGGATTAAGTTTTGATTTAAAACCTATAGTACCATCACCAGTTATAGAGGGATATAGGAATAAATGTGAATTCACTGTTGGCATTGATGATGAAACTAAGAAGCCAACAGTTGGTTTTAGACTTGGCAGTTATGTGACAGGAACAGTGGGAGTTGCTCCAATACAATCTTTAAATCATATATCAGACCAAACAAAAAAAGCTGTTTTGGTAAGTTGTTTATCCTATTTTTGTTCATTGTTTCATTATGATGGAGTAATAATAGTTAGTATTACTATAAATTTTTAGTTTGCAACCTTTATCTTTTGTAAAACTTTTTAAATCCCCATAATATGAAGAAAATTACGAACTTGAGATATTTAAATAGGGTAAAAACATTGTTTAAAATTTTTTATATCTCAATTTATTTCTATAATAAAAATTATGTAAACTAACAATATTTATAGAGATAAAAATCACTATCATTACTTTATTTTTTTCAGATATTCCAAGAGTTTGTGAGGAAGTCAAATTTGGCGCCATTTTCTCCCGCTGACTACTCGGGCTACTGGAGATATCTAACAGTAAGACATTCCAAGTTCAATGGAGAGATCATGCTGATTATTGCTCTACACCCACAGGTACTAAATATATTATATTAATATTTAATTATTATCTTCTTATAATATACAGGTAACTTAGCTTAAATATAGTTCTTTTAAACAACACATATGTTTTATTTGATTTTAAAAATTCATGATGTTACAATTAAGAAAAAGAAATTGATATTTTTCAGGCCTTAACCACAGAGGAATTGGAAAAATTGAAAGGAGATTTAAAAGAACATTTTAATTCTGAAGAATCTGCTGCATGCGGGATCAAGTCTATATATTATGAATTAATTATAAAAAAGTATGAGAAAATTTTCCACAATTATATTCATACTAGTTCTCGCCTGCGACTATTCGCGTAATATAAAAAAAAACTTAATTAGTAGCCCATGTGTTCTTTTGCACTGTGTTCTACATAGTACAAATTTCCTTGAGATCCATGCAGCCGTTCTGGAGATACCATCTAACAAACATCCATCCTTCCATCTAAACAGTCGCATTTAGTATTAGTAAGTCTATTGATATTTAATGTAACTTTTTAAATTCATGTTGCAGACGTGTGGGTGAGGATGGTTCTAAGCCAATACATCTGATGGGTTCAACTCACATCATTGATGTTATCTTGGGAAGGCAATTTAGGATATCACCGGAAGCATTTTTTCAGGTTTGTTTTGCTTTAAAAAAATTTAATTGAAAATTATTTTTATTCTTTTACTAGTGGTATTCTACACACCTTTTTTTTTAATCCTGTCAATATTGGTCCAACTATTCCGGAGATTGCCCGGAACATATGTAGTCGGACAGACTAAAATTTTCAATGTTTTACTATCGAAAATATCATGTGAACGAATTTTTTTTTTCAAAATTACATAAAGACAATTCAATTACATTAATACTTATAGATTGTGAAGTGTATCCTTGTTTTATTTTAGGTGAATACAGCAGGTGCGGAAATATTGTACCAAAATGCGATAGATTTGAGTCAGACAACAAGTGATTCTACTGTCATTGATATATGCTGTGGCACTGGAACTATTGGCTTGTGTTTTGCAAAGGTAATCAAAACTATAGAACATTTTATGTTTCAGACCCCCCTTAATAAAAAATGTTTTTATGTTATATAAATATAATATAAATGCGAAATTAAAAGATGGATGGATATACCATAAACACTCAACACTGGCCCAATCCGCTAAGGGAGAGCCATAAACAAGAAACAACAATGATGGATGGATGTTTATTATTACGTATCTCCAAAACGACTTAATGGAACTGAATGAAATTTGGCACAGATGTAGAACATAGTCTGGAAGAACATATAGGCTTACAAAGTTTTTTTTAATATTTTGCATTAAATATGTGCAGCACTGCGGTCGCGTGCTGGGTGTGGAGCTGGTGTCGGAGGCGGTGCGGGACGCGCGCGCCAACGCGGAGCTGAACTGTCTCGACAACTGCGAGTTCTTTGCTGGACGTGCGGAGGACGCTCTGCCCTCCGTCATGGCGCGCGCTGGCGGTGACCAGCTTGTCGCAGTCGTTGACCCACCGAGAGCAGGACTGCGTAAGATTATTATTTTTTTCTATCCGACTTATTACTTACTTAAGATGTAACTCTATTCCTCGAATGACTTAAATTAACACATTCAATGCTACTTTGATTTTTGCGTTTCGAACATTGCAAGTCAGTAATACCTTAACATCGGTTTGTTCTATCAAGAGTTGGCTACGTTACTTATTGGAATTTATATTCGAATTTTAATTGTCAATTATTCATGAAAGTTATTGAAGAATAATAAAAAGCCTAGATAACGATTAGATAGCTAATTTTGTATTTGTTTACATGGGTGTTGCCAGGGTGGAGGTTAGAGGAGGTACAACTACCCCTCCTTAGAAAGTCGAAAAATTAAAAATACATATAAAAACTATTTTGAACAAGACCATATTAATGGTCTCTCGACCTAACCTAGATCATAAGCTGGCGACGCCTGTGATTACTAAGTTATCTGTCCCCTACAGACATGCGTGCTATAACACAACTACGGAACACGAAGAAAGTGAAACGTCTGATATACATATCGTGCAGCCCGGCTTCGGCTGTTAAAAACTTTGTGGACTTAGCTCGTGCATCATCAAAGACGCTGCGAGGTGCCCCCTTCACACCAGTACGAGCAGTGCCCGTGGATATGTTCCCATACACTAAACATGTCGAGCTGGTCGTACTCTTTGAAAGAGAAAGTGAAGCTACTCTAGTAAGTTGTGAGAGTGAGAGGTCAGAGAATGAAAGGGACCGTCTGTTTTCTCATATTGCTACTTTTACTCTCTTTATACTGTATGGAGTAAATTAACTAATGATTGATTTTGATAAATGTTGACCAAATTATGTTTTTTTTTAAATAAAACAGCACGAAAATGGGATGCAAATGGAGAATTCTTTTCTTTTTCAGAAATCGCCAAGCGAAGAAGATGTAAATATTACAATGGATGACAATAAAGAGATAAATAGTAAAGATGAACCAAACACGGAAGCAGAACTCGATGTAAACATGGTTCAGAATGAAACATGAATAATATTATATTATTATACAATTTTGTAACGAATCAATTGTTGGTAGCCTTACATTATTTTTTTATAATATAAAATTATATATTAATATTAACATAGTTTTATTGTAATAATAACACATCCACATCGAACAAAACAAGGAACAATGTAAACATCAAAACTCGCTCAACAACTCATTCATATTAAGTGACCATAGTTTTCAGGGTCCCATTGTATGACTCATAAGCATAACACAACAAAATATATAGCTATTTTTGTTTTTGATTGTTAAGGAAGATGAGAGAGATAACAATATGTATGCTAGTAGCTTATTACAAAAATTACAACAAAAAGGTCCTAATGTGAGATTATTTGGGAGAACCTAATAAACGGTAATAAATCTCGGCTAAACACGCATATTATTTTCTACCTACCCTTGTAGGTTGTAGCTAGGTGCTAATTGTACCAAAAACAGTAACTATATAGTAGAAATACATATATTTACGTTGACCAGTCGTTGATTACGTAATTAAAACGTGATTAAACGAAGCCAGAGGCATTGCGGTGAAAGAGGTCACCCTGTGGTGGGTGGCGGGTGGTGCTCCAGGAATTTAATATAAGAAGGGGCGATACCGCGTGCATTCTAAAGCGTACACCTAAAGACTCCATTCATTTTCAACCGCAAAATATTCAGCGCAAATATGAATAGCATCTCCCGTGTTCTCTACGTATGTTTAAATTATAATCTTTATAATACTTACTAGCTGTCTCTCGTGACTCCGTCACCGGAATCAAAAATGAACTTAATTAGTAGCCTATGTATTCTTCCAAGCTATGTTAGTGTAGATATCTGTGCAATATTTCAGCGAAATCCATACAACCGTTCTGGCGATACCTTATAACATATATCCATCCAAATGTTCGCATTTATAATATTAGTAAGAAGTAAGATTAGCCTTCATGACTTCTTTTCAGAGTGGCCTTGTAGACTAAAATGAATTTGTCAAAACACGAATATTATAATCCAAAACGAGCCTTTTGACTAAAACGGGTACGTTGAGGATACTTTATAGAAATTAACATTTCTGGATTCATTTAGTAAAGCTTAGAATTTGTGAGATTAGTAGCAGTTACCAATAAAAAGTGAGCTACAAATCTCTCGTCAATAAAAATATCAAGTGTTAAAAATCATTTTTTGCTGCGACTGTACTTTTTAATCTTCAAATACCTTTGTATTTAATGTTCTGACTGTACCCGTCGGTCCTTACATTCCATAGCGCGGCGACTTGAAGAGTGGGATATCCCGAACCTAAGCCGGGATAGAAGCCGATATCTCTCATTGTATTTCTAGACTTCGAAGTGTCAACATCTTCCTGAGAAATAGTACTGATAAAATGTGTTGAGTTTACACACAGCCATGGGATTTATACGAATTTCTGTAGTATTATTGTCTCTGATTTTCTATCATTGTGCGTTATCTAAGAGTGATCCAAAAGGTAAGTTATTTCTTATTTGTACAACACGTCAGAAAATAAATTGTACATACATGTTACCAGTAAATAATGCACATTGCACTTTGTAATTTCCCCCAGCAAATCATAAATACTAGGTAAATTAAATATAGCCGTATAGTCTTAACTTTCGGCAATTTGTAAAGGTGCCATTCATTTAACGATTTGCCTAGGCCAATTACAAACGGGCGATGTACACTATTTAAAGGTTACAAATATAAGGAACACAAAATCAGCCCAATATATTTTTATTCTAAAATTTCAGATTGGTACGCGGAAAGTGAGTCCGTTATAGATCCGAACGGTGCGTTACTACTGAAATGGAAAGTGGATTATTTCAATCGTAAAATAAGATTTCAATTGGTTATATCAGATAGAGCTCCGGAAGCGAACTGGATTGCCTTAGGATTCTCTGATAGGGGAGATTTAACAAACTCTGATGTTTGCCTAGTATGGACAGATTATAAGGGACGTGATCATTTTGAGGTGCGATGCTGCTTTTGAAATTACTTACTGCGAGTTTTTACTTGCCTGTTATTTATACTTCCACGTTCAATAAATAATAGCACTATGTTACAATTTTGTAGGATATGCACGCGGACTCTGACGGTAAGGTGACGCGGGATGTGCAACAGGACTGTGAAGCCTTTTACCTAGATAGTAACGCTCGGAGTATTTTCTTCGAACGATACTTCGACACTTGCGATGACAATGATTACATTATTGAGGTAAGTGCAAAAGTTCTCGATCCTCAAGAACGTACGTTCCTAACGATTTCATTTTTAGATGAAGTATTACTGTGGAGTTTCGTTGCGGTAACATCGAATGCTTCAGAAATGTATATAATTTTCTTTTAACACATGAATTACATCTGTTACAAGAAAAACGTCTATGCTCATTATTCATGATTAAATTTTTTCCTTGTCTTACATATAATTACCGCGCATAAATTTTAACTTATTTCAGGACGGAACAGTTCACGTAGTATGGGCCCGAGGTATAGACAAGCTGTTCACATCTAAAGGTCTCTGTTTAACGTGCACGGCGGCCGAGGACCACGGCTTCGTGCGCGTTCGGTTACTAACGCCTGCAAACTTACCGCAGCCCCGCGCGGAACAGCTCGTTATAACCAACAAAGATTTGAACGTCCCTAGTGGTGATACCACATATTGGTGCCAGGTTGTCAAACTACCGGACTTTGTTATACAGAAAGTTCACCATATAGTAAAGGTAAAGGCCATAGTTTAAATTTATCGTCGGTTTCTGAAACCAAAACCAAAATCTCTGTATAAAACATATCGTCGTCATATAATCATTATCTTTGACAAAACAGAGATAATAATATATTTTAAACAGGAGTTTTAGTTCCAGGAACCTACAGTTAGAGACGTACACTGATACTTTTGAATCTGATTCACTACCTATATAAACTTCAATCTATTATCATAATTATTTGATTTCAGTTCGAGTCCATCATTACCAAAGGAAACGAAGGTCTGGTACACCACATGGAGCTCTTCTATTGCGACGCTGATCCAAACAAAGAAATCCCACTTTATAACGGAAACTGTTTCTCACCTGATCGACCTGAAGTAACGAAATTATGTTCGAAGGTAAATTTTACATCTTTGATTTGTACGATCTGAGTAAATTTTATCAAACAAGAGAATTTTAAACTAAAAAGGCAACATTTAGACATAAAATAACAGTTGCCAACTCTGAAAATTCGTTATTAATACGATGATTTTAACTAAAACCTAACCATGAATTTATAAACTTCGCCCTATCGCGGAAAAATAGGAAACTAATTTCTTTGCACACATTAATAAGTTACCCAATAATGGCGACGCCCAGGTTAGTTATAGTTTATTCTAGGAAAAGCTATAAGCAATTAGAAGTCGAGTTAAACTGATAATAATTTTAGCATCTATAATTTAAGGTGAGAGCGGCTTGGGCTATGGGGGCGCCACCTTTCGCTTACCCGGAGGAAGCGGGTCTACCTATCGGTGGTCCGGAATCAAACAAATACATCATGCTCGAAGTGCATTACAATAATCCCGAATTAAAAGATGGTAATTATAATTACTTTTTGAGTCTACTTTATTTTTAAAGATCATATTACTAACACAAATATCACAGTAATATGGAAGCTTGTTATAGTTAGCATTAGCCAGAATTTTGTTCGTTAACATATGTAAGTAATTATAATTTTAGATTGGATCGACAGTTCTGGTATTATATTACACGTGACGGCAAATAAACGTCGCTACGATGCAGCTATTATGGAACTTGGTTTGGAATACACAGACAAAATGGCCATACCCGGTGGACAGGAGGCCTTTCCTCTAACTGGTTATTGCATTCCGCAATGTACAGGTGTGGTAAGTACTTACCAGTCTCAAAATCATTTTTGGAACTATAAGACTATACTATATAAACTATAAGAAAGAACTCAGTACAATTTTGTAATCGTTTAACCTTTCTGGATTTGAATGTTTTCTTATTTCTTATCAAAGCAGCAACATTGAAGTACATGGTAAATATCGATATAAAATTTATTGCAGGGCCTACCAGAGCACGGTATCATAGTGTTCGGTAGCCAGTTGCACACGCACCTGACGGGCGTAGCGGTGTGGACGCGTCACGCGCGGCGTGGTATCGAGCTTCCTCTGCTTAACAGGGACCTGCACTACTCCACGCACTTTCAAGAGATCAGGATACTACATCGACCTGTCAAAATTCTACCCGTACGTAGAATAACGTTATATACCGACCATAGACAATCCGCAACAGCTAGATTAATTGTGTGTTGTCGGATTTGATTTGGATAAAAACTAAAGGGAAACCATAAAGAGGCAACTAACTTGTCATGCGAAATGTAGATTATTTTTTTATCACTGTGGGTCATATTATTTAGTGTAATTTTTTCAGGGTGACTTCTTAGAGACGACGTGCATCTACAATACAGTAGACAAATCAAACGCGACCATCGGTGGCCACGCCATCACCGACGAGATGTGCGTCAACTATCTGCACTACTACCCCGCAACGCAGCTCGAAGTTTGCAAGAGCGCCATCTCTAACCTGGCATTGGAAAATTATTTCAAATTTGAAGACCGGTAACTCATAATAGATATTTTATTTATATATAGATTTAGAGTCATCTCTTTCGTACATTACCTATTTGACTTTGTGACGTCGGTTGAATTAAACTTTGGTACTTAAATTAATGTTACTATAATAAATATTATATTGCAGATGGGACAATATGTCTATCTCGTACTCGGCGCCGCCCAGGGCTAACTACCTGGCTATCAAGCCGTGGACACCGCTGAGAGCCGGTGCACTGACTGCACTGTACACAGAATCTCCGATATCAATGCAGTGTAATAAATCCGATGGCAATCGATTTCAGGTGAGCACCAAATTATGATCCATTGATTTTTAAAGATTGTATAATTAAATGTTTTTCGTTGCTATTTTTATTGCTGATATTTTTTTTATTTAATATTGTTATTTATTTTGCAGGGAGATTGGGAGGGATTGCTGATACCAAAAATCAAAGTTCCATTGCCGGAAGAGCCGCGAATCTGTCGAAACTCCGCGAAAAAAGCCAAAAAATTTATGACGTACAAAGATTATATGCTAAATTAGTTTTCCTCTTATTCTAACATAGGTATACTAACTTCTAGCTATACCATTTATACTATAAATGCTTGTTGATAAAATGTACCAACGTTATTAAAATAAAGTTATTCTGGGATCTATGTAGTTATTTTATTTAATCATTCTAAAATGAAGAATAGTAAAGTTTTTAAAAATTGGTGCTTAACTCCAGAACGGCTCAACATATCTGGATAAGATTTACAGCCTAGAATATTGCGTAGGCTTCACGCATGGACAAAGTTACGGGCGACAAGTAGTACCTACTCATACAAAGTTCTGGTTGTTTACGATTGATTACGATTCGTGGCTGCATAACATAACATAAGTTGTACGTTTAGGTTGGTTAAGACCCTGTTAGCCCTTTACGACTGAGTGTCAAGCATACAATTTAGATAGTTTATAGTTAACATAGATTACAATTTACATTAACTAAACTGATAAGTGTCTGGTATATACAATATATGTAACTATTCAGTACTCAATATATTCTTCTTTAAATTAATTAATAATTAAATAAAGAAAAAATAGTGGTAATCTGAGAGTTGCATATGTAAACCCTGACCTCGATCAATCCATAGCAGGGGGTGGAAACTTAGAAGAAGGACGGTTTGTATGGAAAGTGGCGCCACCTTTTATATAATCGTAAACATCATTTCATCTCATGGCTGAGAAGAAGCATCATTTCTGTCATCGAGACATTCATGTGTCATCAAACCGCTACGTTTTTTCGTATTTCTATTTCTGTTCTTGTATTCTTAGTTAAATGTTGTTTCATTCATTTTGTTTTTAATTAAAATGTGTTTTCGTGAAAAACGACGCTGTATGCAACTGTGTTTTAGATGGACTGATTATGGTAAGTTACAATTCAATAAAAATTTTCATGTTATTCCCATACGTCAGACTCATTTAAACATTTAAATATTTTCGTATTTTGGTGTAGTTTTTAGCACCACAGTGATTTATACTTTCCGGTTATCATATTGAATGGTGCCCTACTTCTAATACATTTTACATATCAGTTCCTATACTTGACCAGAAATCACATTCTGTTTGTTTTTTGTAGGTGCACATATACACGGTTTCCCCCTTCCTGAGAGAAGGTCAGTGAAGTTCAGAAAATGTGTGCCAATCACTGGAATTATAGAGCCATAAACTGATGTGTCTGAAATTAGTAGGTGGGTCCATGTAAAGAAAAATCTGCTTGCCTATGTTGTAAGAGAATATGTTCAGAGTGTTTAAACTCGCAAATAACTACAAATTGCCTGTTGCCAGCTTGCATGTGACTGAAAATATTTTGGGGGTTGGTTTTAATTACAGGGTATGCATTTTTTTGTGACCGCGCTATACTATTTATTACCGTAAATGTAATTTTCAAATATATATATTAAATATTTAAATATTGAGCTGATATCTTGAAAGTCATTGATGTATATGTACTTGCATAGATTTAAAATTAAGTTATGTAGAAATATAATAAATAATGTACAAAAATATAAAAATATTTTGTTTTTATTTCCCCAATAATAATAGGATCATTTTAATAGAGGTATTTCATAGAAGGCTACTTGATATCGGCTCACTATAATAATAACTGATAAGTGGGTGTATTATTTTTGAACATTGATTTAATGTCAATTTTAATTTCATAAATTAGATTCCCACTTATCAGTTATTATTATAGTGAGCTAAATAAGCGTGCCTACGTATATAGATACCAAAAAAAAAAAATTAGTTCAGCGATTATACGCATGGAGCGCCACAATCGCCGTGGATCCACGACTTCGTGCGAGTTGCCCCTCTTTCTATAGTATACTTATTATACTCTTTGATCCATAGCGAAAATATCTTTGGCGAAAAATGATGGATAAGTTTTGACATTTTGTTGTTTCTGGCTGTTTCGTATTTTCCTTGACTTCATCTTGCTAATCGGATATTTTCTTCTTTTGCAATAATATTATCAAACCATGTCTAACGATTATTTTAACAGTGATGATTCTCCTAATAAGACAAATTCTCACTTACAACTTCCTAGTCCTATAATTACGCGTCGTAATAGAACTGCTTCAACGTAAGTTGTGTGTTAATTATTACTATTTTATAATTGTGTTGTAAATTATCATTATTATGCTTTGTGTACATACGCAGATCTGAAAGAGCTCTGGGAAACCCGGTAGAAAATGGTAAAATAAAATCATTTTGCCGGGAAAGGGGTCACGGTTATGTGACCCCAGAAAAGGGCGGAGAAGATCTCTTTGTTCATATTTCTGAGTAAGTACAACAAAATATCCATAGTTTTGTAAGAAAATATGTTTTAAAATATAAAAGCTATTGTTTCAATTAAAAACTATTTAGTGGTTAAATCTTATTGGTTGGAAACATGAAACTATATTGGGGTTTCTCTTATTTCGCATTATTTTTTCTTATGTCGCCATGAGTTACAAATCATTTATTTAGGATTTGTTGAACTTAATATCTCATATGAGTAACAGACTTTCTTTATCATAAAAATGGTGCAATGTTGACTACAATTCGCACATAATTAAGGTCAGTGCTGCACAATGTCAGTTAAGGCATGACATTTGTAAACAACAGCAGAATACATTTGAGATTGGAGGCTATGTTATGACTTTACTTTTATCTTATTTCTTACTAATATTATATATAATATGAATGTTTTTAATGTACAATTAATGTTACAATAATGGACATCTTCAGAATTGCTTTGTAAATCTAGATGAAATATAGTATAGAGACATAGAATACAGTCTGGAAGAACAAATATGTTTCCGTCCTGAAAATATTTCCAAATTCTGTGGGATTCTTTAATTCACATTTGTTACTTGATAACTGCAATGGTCCAACAAAACAAAATGAAATTTGGCACAGGCATTGTTTTGAGTAGCCCATGAGAGACATTTGACCTTTTTTTATTCTGTGCAGAAGTTGCAGCAAAAAGCTTGAATCAACATATTTCTAATACATCATACTCATAAAAGCAATATAAATAAATACTGAATTTTCATAACTTGAATGTGTTTTTTTAATAAGTTATTTACATTACCATAGCATTGAAGGCGAGTATGTACCACTCCCTGGGGACGAAGTGACATACCGTCTCTGCCCGATACCACCGAAGTTTGAAAAGAACCAGGCCGTCCATGTCCGAATTATCCACCTGACACATCAGAGGCATCTTAAATGGGATGAACCACCACAGATACACTCGTAAGCATTTTACGCAAAGCACAAGTTTTGTTAAGTAACCCTGTCACTTGTCATTGCAGGTTTATTTATAAGCCCATAAAGGCCTAAAATGTATTTATCAGTAGGTATAAGCTCATGTTCACTATATTTTTTTTATATTTTACAAAAGGAAAGAGGTAACATATAAGGTTGTATTGAATTAGAATGGTCATTCAGTCCAAATGAATACAGCGATTGGTAAAGAAGGTAGCCAACATAATGTGGTGCTAAATTTTCGAAGGTTTTTGAAAGGTTTTGATATCTGGTATTGAAATTACAGTAAATGGAATAAAGGAAAGGGCTTCTAGCACAAATACCTATTTATCCAATGTGAATCTATATTACAAATATCATCGATTATTTGGCCTAATATATACAGATGTCCGTTAGAATTAATTAATATCTGATTATTATATAATTTCGCACAAATTAATGTGATAGAAATCATAATGAATTCTATAAAATTACATACTGAATGCATTTATTGAAGTTATTTTCATTCCAAAGTTGAGCATTTTGACAATGTTGTCAGTTTACGTAAATGTATTTCAAAATCTTACCGAACTTTATTTGCACAATTCTCTGATAAATGTAGCTTTTTCTGTGTTGCCATGCTTAATTGTAAACTGTATGGTAAATGTATGTGTTATTTTAATAAGTTAATAAATGTAAGCATTACTTGGTTGTTTAATTTTTCCTTTTCACTTACAAACTTAAAATACATTGCTATCTCTGTGTTCTCAAAGATAATGACTGAGACGACGATATGTTTTATAGAAAGATTTTGGTGTTAGAAGCCCACAATTAATCTTGTCATAACTTTATCCAGTGCATAAGAATCATTGTAGATGCCACTTGAACCTATGCAGAGGACAACTTGATAAAATAGCATTTAATGTCTTCATGTCTGAACAGACATACATTTCAACAAAAATATCTGACCAGTTAGAAAAAAGGAAAAAGTTATACTTTGACTGACTTGTCTATGGGTCACTCATCAAGTGAATGTATTTTTGCTCCTTTCTACTTCTTTAAAATTGTAAGTAAAAAATCAGATTATGCAGTATGTTATATATTTAAATAATCACTATATAAGTTATAAAAAAGCTTTTTCAGGGTTGTAATAAAATAGACAATCATTATGTAGCAATATTTATTTATCTATGTAGTTTATAAAGATTACTGTAACACAGGTCAGGTTAGTTCATTATAAAATAAGGGTTATACACAACAACTACAATTAATTAAAGTGTAAAATAAAATAATTATAAATAAATAAGTTCTATATTAGGGTTACGGAGACAGCAATCGATATTAATCTGATTTAATCCATCAGCTCTACACCAGCACCTATTATATCCGATTAAGTATAAAAATGTCACATGATTACTTTGTTTCCGAAAAAAAAAAACAAAATCTAAACATTAGTATTAATTTTATGTCTACATATTTATTTATAAAAGGGAATTTCATTTTTAATTGCGTCACAATCAAAGTCTTTACGCTTAAAGCTATGGCTTGTCATATTCTATACAATTTTCGTGGTAAACACTGGAGACACTTTAAATGGCATATTTGAATATAAATGTTGATTAAGAATACACACTTATATAAAACTAGATCTATACTTTGGTGCCGAATGTACATAATTAAAAAAAACATGGAATTTAACAACCAAAATTATTTAATTTTTTGTCTGATCATTCATGTCTCCATTTAAATCCAGTCAAATAAAAAAAAAACAAAAAGGTGTTAAATCATTTTAATTTGTTGCTATATACAAAAATGTAATTTATAATCAGTGTCCGAATGTTTTCTAATTTTTTCACACGCTATTTTCTACAATTCGTGGTATTTGCATATAAAATAAATGCAGAACGAAATGGAATCATAAAAGTACACAGTTTAGTGGACATTAAACATTTTGTCTTAATTTACTTCGCCTTTTTACTTTTACATGTCAATGTCGGCTCTTTAAAAAAATATTATTCTTTACCATTCGTCATGTTGCCGTTCTGAAATAGATAAGAAACAATTAGGTGTCTGGAGATTATCTAATGCACAATTTAATCACATTAGCGTAAAATATTCAAAATAAAAACATATACAAATGAAAATTTTAGCATATTGATTTTTTAAAATAAGGAAAAAAAATGTTTTTATGAATTTTAACACAACCAAAACTATATACACTAGCGATTTGCTCAAAACATTGTAAATGACTACACCTCTAGCAATACTAATCTATTTACAATTCACTTATCGGTATAACTTTACCTTCGCAAGCTTGGTGATAACGAAAAGAGAAAAAAAATCATGAAAGACCATTCTCTCTTGGTAACACTTAAGTGCCACCGACATCAGGTCAGGTATGTTCATTCAAAGAAATAGTGGCATTGAATATATTGGAAGACTTTTAAAATATAATAAATTTCTGTTTATATATCTGAAACAAATTTGCTGATTTCTATGTACAAAAGAATTAAGTTATAATACCTCCTCAAGTTGCGCCAAATGGTAGTGTCGTTTCCTGAGCTCTGCGAGTCGCGCGCGCTCCTTATCTAACGCCGTCTCTAATTCCAAAGCTCGAACTTTGCTCTCCATTTCTAAAATTCGTGTCGCCGTCAGCGTCAATGCCGAAGTATCAAGTGCCTCTGCAATGAAATAAACAAATATATATAATGTACTACATTATTTTAATCTCCTTATTTTACACCCTACTTGGTTTTTATCTTCCGTCTCTTTCATGTAACGAAATGATGTCATGATAATCTGATTTTGAAACTTAAATTTACTCAAGTACTTATTGATAAACTTAGGGTGTCTATATTATTACTAAGGGACACCCTTAGGGTTAATTTAGTATCTACATCTAGAGTTTTCAAAAGTTGGTGTTAGTGATTTTTTTAAAGTCCAGCTATGGGTGGTAGTTACCGGTATCTCTGGCGAGGTCTGCGGCGTGTCGTGCGGCGGCGAGCACTGCGCCGGCAGCGGTGGCGACCTGCCTGGAGGCGGCGGTCAGTCGGGCGAGTGAGGGCGCTGCGGGAGGTGCACGCGCGCGTGACGCCGCAACCAGCTGCGCCGTGCTGCCCGCCACTGAGTGCGCCGCAGCGGACACGCCCTCCACGCGACCCTTGCCGTTCACCGTCTCGTCCGCTGACGACCTGTGCAACACAAATACATAGTATATTTATTAATAATTTCTTTGTCTTCTATTATTCTTGGCACCTTTTTTATACTTCAAACTTTTAAAAAGTATGGACATACTCACACTAGTAGTTTAGCTGCGAATACAACCGCCTTAGCGGCCGAGATGAGTCCCTCCGACCACTGCGGGTTGCGGCGGTACATTTTCTGTCTGGTGCTGGTGTCGCCGAGCTCGCGCTGCAGCCGGCGCGCGTCTTGCACCAGCACCTTCACCGCGCCCATCAGCGTCGTGCACGCGTCCAGGATCTTCTCGTTCACCTCGAGCTTCACTCCCGAGTCGCCCGCGCGGCTCGCGGCGAGCATTTCCTATAAAACAGACAAAATATTACAACCGATAAATCGCATAAAGAACACTATTTCAGATATAACAAGGCATAGTAAAATGCAGAGGAGGGCATTGCGTAACTCGTAGACGACCTTTAGCCGTCAAGATATTTGAAAAGACGCATATAACTACTAGCCGTGGATTTTTGTCATTTCCACTGTCGATATTTCGGTCGGTCAATGAAAAGAGTTTTAAGTGTAAACACGGTATACCTCAATCTGCGCAGCGGCTTGTTCGATGGCGGTGTCCATAGTGGCGAGCTCGTCGTCGACGCTGCCGGGCGCGGGCGCGGCGTCCGCAGTAGCCGCGCTGTCAGCCGCGCGCCGCACGCCGCCCAGCGCCTCCGCGCACAGCCCCGCCTCCACCCTGCCCGCCGCCACGCCCTCCAGGCACGTCTTCGTCGCGCTCAGCATTGAACGGCACTCGTTGCTCAACTCTGACATAAAGCGAAACATGATAATATGCAATTAAAAATCGTATATTCAAGTTCCAAGCTATAACAAATATAGACTCACTATCGGAGAGCTCCATATCTGTGGACACGTTGCATACTTCCATGATATAGGCGGAGAGCTGCGCCGTGTTGTGCGCTGCGTATACTGCTGACTTGGCCAAAGTTTCTTCGTTGCCGTTAATCTAGAATAATCCATAAACCATTTAATTACGGTTAAAATAGCCTTACAATATTATTATAATTAGTAACAAAATATATTAACCTCTTTATGTGTGGCCAGTTCGTTAAGTGCATTGGCGGCGAGTTCCGCTGCGAGGCGGTATGTGTCGCGCGCGCTGCCGTGCTCGTGCGCATCCAGCGCGCCGCAAGTCACCGCCAGCGCAGCCTCGCCCGCACACGACAACATTCGACATCTCTCTGGTTTTATACACATTATTAATTATTAATAACTACACCAAACACAAGTTCAACAATAGAGTCATTTTAAATAATCTCAAAACATAATTTTATTATATTTACATTTACATGTAATAAAGTTAGTGTCTGTGCGTAATATTAAAAAAAAAAATTTGTTTCTGTCTACAATGACGCCGTTGTTCCGGGTGGTTTCCGGATTTGACGGCAAGCTGATATCTCTCTCTCTGCCTAGCTTACAAGGTATGCAGAGAGATGCTGATATATGTAGGAATAATATAGGCAACTTTTTTTATAACGCGGTCGATTGTTTAAATAAATTGATATAAAATGTACTAACGTCGTTTAATTTCCGATTGCGCCTCCTCGAGTTGTGCTTTCAGTGAGGCGACGTCCGCTTCTAAGACTGTATTGTGTTGCAACAAATCCTGCAATTCACACTCCGCATTCAGTCTCTCAGTCTCCGTGTGCTCTAACCTCGCACATATCATCTACGTTAGTACACACACATAGAAAATATAAAATTATACTTAACGTAAGAGAATTCATGCGAACAACAATCCATAGATGATCGTCAGAAGGTAACCCAGCGCATGCAGCGTATCGAAGATGCAGAGCCAAGCCGAAGACGCGGAGAGAATAGAAATAATACATGCCATTAGAATATAGCAAGATGCCAACTTATAAAGAAACAGATTTATATAAGCACCAATTATAAAATGACCTTGAGAAACAGATATTTAAGAAGCCAAAAAAAAAATTGCAACTATAAAACTGAAAGCATTTTATGAAATAAAGGAGGAAACATAATAAAGTGTTTACTAGAAAAGTCTTCTTTAAAAACCATTTAAGTAATTTCTGTAGAAATTCACTGCAATGACAATATTTATACGTATCGTCATCCCTTTCATTATCTTTAACAAAATAGAGACAGAAATATGTATTAAGATAGTGTCACGTCTGTCCAATTCTACGGTTATATCTTGTAGTAAATATAGTTAACATAAAAACATCACGAAAACTAACATTTTCACAGTAAAATTCACCAACAACATTGTTAACGAACACAATACATAATCATCCACCACCATTGTTAGTCTGACCTGATTGTCTTTTACTTTTTTTGATAAAACTAAATCCATTTCGTCTTTCTCGTTCATTTTTAATCGTTTCATTTCATCTAATTTTGTTTGCATATCATCCCTTTCTTTCATAACTAGATCTAATGTAATTTCTTTATTGTCTATTATTTTACGATGAAAGTTTACTTCATATTTGCATTCTTCTAGTTTTGCAGTTATATCGTCTATTGTACAATTCAGTTCATTTATTTTACCATTTAAATTATTCTCCATTTCAGCTTTTTCATTTCTTATAATATCAATATCACTGTTTAATTTAAATACTGTTTCATTTATTTCTCGCATATTCTTCTCTAAAACCTATCAAATATAAAAATATATTACTTGAAAAAATTTCTTCGTTCAACAAATTTGCAATCGTTTAAGAACTTTACTTACCTCTTTTTCTACAGACAGTTCATTAATAATTTTATCTTTTTCTATTTCGATATCTTCTTTTTCTGTAGATAGTTTAGTAATTTCATTTTCAAGTTTTTGCAATTCATTATTTTTAATAGATAATTCATAATCATCTTGAACTTTCATGTTTTCGAAATCATCCTTCAAAACTATCAATTCATTGTTCCCTATTTCTAACTCTGCATTTGTTTCTTTTAATTCATCCTCGAGACGTGTTAGTTGATCTGTTAATTTTGTCACTTCTGTATTAAGCGCAAGTATTTGTTGATCTTTGTCTGTCAATAATTCTTTAAAATTATTAAAAACGTCATCTGTTACACCTAACTCTTTGTTTAGTTTTTTTATTAAATCTGTAATATTTTCATCTTTACTAGATAACATCGTTTCTAATTCAGATATCTTCTTTGATAATGTTTCACTTTCAGCTATCTTTGTTTGACAGATTGCATTTTTTTCTTCAAGTAATTTCTCTAATTCTTCAATTTTAATAGCATTTTCATACACAACTTCCTTTATTTTATTCTCTAGACAAGAGATGTTTATTTCTTTATCTTCCAAAGCCTTTTCAATTTGAATTTTTACATCTGTTATTTCCTTTAGCTTATTTTTTAAGTCATTTACATCTGACTGTAGTAGTTCCACCTGCATTTCAGCGGCATTTTTACTTTCTACAATTTCGTCTACTTTTTGCTTGAGACTAAGGATTTCCGTGCTTTGTTTTATATACCTTTCGGTATAATCCATTTTACTATTTTCATATTCATTATTAACATTCTGAAGTGTTAAAACGAAATAAGTTTTAATATTTACAAAACTATTTACAGTGGAGAATCTACGTTAAAAAAATCTAGAAATAATTAGTATTTTTTAATTTTGCTATAATGTTTATTGTGCTGTTCTAAATAAAGCCCATTTATCAGTTATAAAAATGTGTTAAGTATGTTAGCCACTACATTTATGTTAATAACTATACATGCAAAGATTAGTTTGTTAATTCTAACTAATAATATAAACATGCAAACTACTAAATAAAGAACATATAAGACAAAATAAACTCCTGACCTCTTTCTCCTGTTGGTACTGTTGCTTTAACTCGGCGACTTCTTGTAGCGCTGCTTCTTTTTCTTCTAATATTCTCTTAACATCTGCACCGCTTTCCACTTTCACAGCATTAAGTTCTTCCTTTGCTTTATTTAGTTCTGCCTCTTTCTCTTCTTTCTCCTTCTGTACTCTTTCTAGATTTTCATTCACTTCTTTTAATTCATTCGTAACTAATATGACTTTCTCCTTTTGTTCCGTCATGGCTGTTTTGTGTTCGATCTCTAATGTTTCCATTGAAGCCTTTAAACTTTCTAATTCCACTTCTTTTTGTCTAGAATTTTCCAAATCAGACCGAAGATTGGAAATTTCATTTTTATATGCTTCTATTTCTTCACTCGACGATGCACTTTGTTGGAGAAGTTCCACATCTCTATAAATCAATCACTTATATTAAAGTAGAGTTGGTTGTTGACAGATCGGCGAATAAATGACAATTTTTCTAATATATTACACAACAAAAAACGTAACTAGTAGCCTATGTGCTCTTCTAGGTCATGTTCTACATCTATGCCAAATTTCAGCGTGTAGATGTAGACGGTAGCATCTAACAAACATCCATCCATCCAAACATTCGCATTTATAATATTAGTAAGAAGTAAGTTGTTTTCATAAAAATCTTTTCTTAGTCTCCATTTTCACTAAATAGACAAGAAGACACATCATCAGCTCACTTTAGTCCCCACTGAGGGGCTCGTAGCCTACTCTAAGTTAGGAGTTAGTTAGGGAGTAATATCACGAAGACTTGTCAATGTAAAAAATATCTACAATACCCATATAAAATGCATTCTCTGCAGCTGTTAGCTTAGTGGAAATGGATCTAAGACGGTAAATAAAGGCTCACTTCATTCTGTCGTTAAGTTGTTGCTGCAGCATCATTTTGGAGCTCTCATGTTGTGCGGCGGCCGCGCGCAAACTGGATGCTAACTTGTCTACCTCCGCTTTCTGAAAACATCACAAATAACATAGAAGAAAAGTTAAATATAGATGCGTTGTCATTAATTTTTATTCGTTTGAATATGAAAAACTAGCTGCATGCCGCGAATCCGTCTGCGTGGAATTTAAAAAAAAAACTTAATAAGTAGTTTATGTGTTCTTCCAGAGTATCTTCTATGCGGGTGCAAAATGTAATTAAAATCCGTTCAGCCGTTGCGGAGATAGCTTCAAACAAACATCCAGCCATCCATCTACACATTCGCATTTATAATATTAGTAAGGTAAAGGAGATTTATTGGGTAATTTTGCACGTCACGAGAAACAAACGTGGTCCTATCCACTCACGCATGACAACACCCATATGATACCTTAAAAGAGTTTAGTAAGTAAGTAGTAAGTAACAATAACTTAAAATAGTTTTTTTTTTAATTGGAAATATTTCGTAAGATGGTCATAGTAATGCTTCAATACATACCTGTCTGATCAATGTGATGTGCTCTTCTCGTAGTTGAGTGTAGGCGCCTTTCAATTTTTGAAATTTTTCATCTATCACCTTTGCCTTATCTTCGGTTTGCAATAATTTCTCTGTTATAACATAATTTATTAATATCTTCAACTCTAATTAAAAAGAAAAAACACGTAAAAAGGTTGAATTCACCTACGTTTGATTTCTGGCGTCTCAGCGGATAAAACTTCCGCTTTTTGTTTCTCCTCTTCCAATTCAGACTGTAACAAAATAATGAAATGTTTAAATTTACTAACATTTAGACATTTATTGTTGTCTCTATTTTTTCAAAGAGAATACCAGAGATGACAATATGTGTCGAAACCTATACTAAGGGTCCGTTCACACAAACTGAAGCGGATGACAATCTGTTATGCTGCTAAAGCCAATTTCAACCTTATCACAGCTGTTTAAAGCCCAATTTAATTTGCTACAATAAATCTGCTTTTCTCCAGTCTGAAAGGAACTTTATAAATACCTTAGTAGCTTGTAGCTGAGACTCAAGTCGCGTGCAATGTTCCCTCATTGATCCCAGCATTGTGTTCCTCTCTTGTACTAACTGCGATACTTCACTCCTTTAAAATTATATTTATCACATAAAAATCAATGTTTCAAACTCTTAGTACAAGGGAAAATGTGTTTTAAAATCATTAACATAAGTACCTCATTCGCTTAAGCTCATTCTGTAGATGATCTATAAGTCTGTCTCTCTCTACTATAGGGTCGGGTTGCGGCGACGGCGTTGTTCTTGTATCGAAAGATTCCGCTTGCTCAAAATGCGACACCTTTAATACAAAACACAAAAGTATTAAAATAAGAGATTAACTATGAAACAAATCTTATTAATGTTATAAATGCGAATGTTTGGATGGATGGATGTTTGTACCAAAACGATGGAATTTGGCTTACCCATAGAACATAGTCTGGTAGAACACGTAGGCTACAAATTATATTTTTTTAAAACCCGCGCGAACGGAGTCGCGGGCGAAGGTTAGTAAAAGATATGTTTAGAAAACAGTTAACGAAGAAAAGTTATATTACCTGACTGACAGTATCAGACGTGTCTATGAGAGAGGCAACCGAGTCTACTTCATCCGGCGGTGGTTCAGGTATTGATACTACGGGAGTCACGTATGTACCAAAATCACTCTGCAACAATTATACATATTAAAATGTCAAATTCAAAAAGAAAACATAAAATAAAGTCTAGATACCTATATACTAGTACATTCGTATAGTTTTATGTATTAGAAAAATATCCTGGCTTAAGTACCTAATCCAGTGGTTTTCAAAGGGGGTTAGACAAAGTGGATTCGCTTCGAAGCGATTCCATGACGAATTTCAAAAATATATGAAATTGACGCGCGACAACCGTGACTTATAGAGTGTTATTGTCAGTTCTATACATTTTTGATGTTCGCTATGGAATCGCCTCGAAGCGAATGCATTTTCACTAACTCCGCAGATGTTGAGCCCTCTTCAAAACCGAGGATATGAGACATTTTCCTTGATTATCAGCTAACTTCGAAACATCAAGTGCTTCTTAAGAAATAGACTGAGTAATTCACCTGTAACAAGAAGTTCGGTGGATTGGAGGGCAAGACTGGCAGCGTGAGAAGATTCCTATAGTACTGCAAGCTGCTCGCGTGTTTGTAGAATGAACTTAGCTTCTTGAATTGCTGACGGAATCTGCGAAAAGCGTGTTATTTAGTCCACTCAATATATTAATTATTTTAAAAATCTGACCAGATTTTTTGGTACTTTGCATTATTCAAAAAAACAATTGAATTTAAAGAAGAGTTTAAGCTTAAAGAAAAAAAAACAGTAGTAGGAACTATTATGAGCTTGCGGATGGACCAACATTTCTACCGATCAATCGGCCCAATAGGTAGGATTGACTGCATGAAATCAAACATACCCAATAGGCCGATTGATCGGTAAGTCAATCGCCCCAAGAGAAACCATCAGTGCTTGAGTCCTAAATGTAAGTGTTATGTTATAGGCGATTCACGATAATACTTATACGTATGTATGCGCGCGCGCGTACGTGTTTGCTTGCATATGTGCGTGTGTGTGTATGAGTGTATGTGTGTGATCACCTCTCCCTGTGTCCGACGAGCGTGTCCGCGGGCAGTGCGGCGTGGAGACGGAACAGCAGACGCACGTTACAGTCATAGATGTGCGAGGAGTCCTGCGCGCACGGGATAAGCGCCGCCAGCCGGCACTGTCCGCTCGCCGTCATCGAGTTAGCACGCGCGTTGCCCAAACTCTCGAATACTAAAACATTGTTACTGTATGTTAGTATGCTGAATACTTTAAAAACAATAAAAAAAAGTATTATAAATGAGTATACGAGTAGTACTGACCTGCTGCTTGAAGGTTCAAAATATCGTCCATGTAGTCAAATAACTCCACACACAGTTGGAAGCTGGAAGTAAACAGTAAAAGAAAAAAAAAATTAAATCCATTTTCATACATTTATCATCGACAGGTACAACAATGAGGACGTTAGCACAACGTGATGATGTTTAAAAAAAATAATTTAAAAAATAGACAAAAAATTAAACACAACTCAATTTTTTTTGTAACAACTACCTCTATCAACTACTAAAAATAGCAATAAATATGTGAATCTCACTAGTTATTGACATCGTTCTCTGCGATTGCGTCTAGCTCGTCAGCGGTGAGCTGCATGTTGCCGGGGAAGCGTGGGTTGCGCTGGTGGAACTTGAGCTTGCTCACCAACAGCGCGCAGTACAGGTGCACCAGCCGCCCGTAGCCCTCGCGCAAGTGCACCTAACACACGCACCGTCGTATTTACATAACAACATCGAACACAATGTTTGAATGTTGTCATCTTACATAGACTTAGTCGAATTGTTCAGGACATGATCAACAGTGATGAAATAAATACGTAACTATTAACATGTCAGAAAGAACAACAAATTATTGGACGATTTAAAGATGAATTTCAACTCACGACTACAAACTTCGTAGTTGACGCCTTTTACAATTAAGAACATAATTTGTCAAAGATCTTTATTGAGGCGAAGTTGAACTTCATTGGCGTGCAGTTGTAATTGTAATGTAACTAATCTACTAGCTTATATGTAAAAGTGGTTAACTCTCTTACCCATAGCTTGCCGAGGTTCTCAATCATGCCAGTGTGTCGCTGCGAGTCATCTAGACAAGCGGGATGTCCCTCGCGCAGCAGCTTGTGCGTCACGTGACAGAACTTCCATGCCACGATACGATTGTCTTGCAGCGGCTGACGGATCGCCACCATCTGTGCAAACATACGTATAAAATTCTTTCCAAGGTCATCAAGCATAGTAATAAATAATATAACAGTAATTATTTTTACCTACTTGTAATTAATTAAAAAAAAACGTTAAATTAATTTAAAAACATAAACATTAGACACCCTTGCAACTCCGGGGAAATTCAAAATCGGTCAACCTTTATGCCACTTTTTTATGGCATATTCACATAACTTAATACAATGCGTATTAAGTTATGTGAATATGCCAAACAAATTATATTTTATTTAAAACTACGTAAAATGCTTTACCAAATTTTACTTAGTAATGACTAATTATAGCCAGGCATCTATGACATGGCTACATAGCGAGAAAAAAGGCAATAATTTGACATAATTATACCCAGTACGTGACCGCGCTCTGCTCCTGGAACGTTCCGATGATTGTGCTCCGAACATGTTTCTCCTTTACCGGGGTCTCGATAGCGTTAATAGCTTTCTGTATAGCTAGTGTCTGTAACATAAAAGATATGCAAAAAAAGTGATAGAAGACTTTGTTCTAAGTGTAACGAATAGGTTTAACAAAATGGTTCTATGATAATAAAACTCGCTACAAAAACATCTTCAAAAAAGGTGATTGGAATAAGAACATACACTACACATGTATAGACACATTAGAACAATGAGAAGACAATATGCTCGTCATCTTACGTTATTATAACAAAAAGTACAAATGTTTAGACTACGTTTTCTGTATTCCTGGTATCAAGACACTACGTGTGTAAAGACAATTTTTTTTAATTTGCAAAGACTATTACGAGCATTTTCGTAGCCATTACTATAATTGCAACGTAATACATATGGAATTTTAATTATAATGTGCATATACAAGCATGTACTATACAACAAATAATTATAATACCGTTGGCTTCCACTGTCGAAAGACCTGTACAAAAATGTTCTGTCATCCCTCGCATTCTGTATGAATAAAAAACAGGATTTGGTTTGTCAGGGTGCCTCGGCAGTAGAAACTGACGGTTATATTATTTATCACCTGCTTATACCGACTTTTATTTAGTCGTACCCCAATGTTTTACTTTGCACCGTAAAATTTGGCTTCTTGTTCTAATCTATAGGTGTTATTGGGTTCACTTTGTAACGGTAATCTTCCTTAATTGAATGTTTAAAAGTAAAAAGTGCTTCAAATCTCTTCTCAAAAAATTCTCAAAATAAGATCTTTTATTAGCTGTCGGGCATTTGTTACCTTTTTACATAAACATGTAGAAACTATTGACCCAGTGAGGACACAAAGAAGCCTTATTCAAACCACTGCGAGTTTCCGAGCGCAGGGTCAAGGTAATTAACAGAACGGGCTTCGAATTATGTAATGTAGTTAGTGTTAGTACAATCTACAATTAATACAGGTAGTATATTCATCTCCATACTTCCTACATAACAGTTGAATATCGCATTATAAATGGTAAAGCTCATATTGCGCGCACGCAAAAACCTAATGTTAGAAAAACTATACATTGCATTTGGAGCATAACTCTAGAACAAAAGTCGTAACAAAAACTTTGTAAAACCCTTGCAAATCAGTTCTGATGCTGAATTTAAATGTTCTGGAATAATCGCAACATCCGCTTTGTTTATAATTTGAATGATAATACATACATAAATGTGTTTGCGTTTGCGCCTTCGTTTCATGTATGAATACATAAATAAATATATACTGCGGACGTAACGAGACAGCTGTGCATGCGCAAACTTCGCGGACGGGCGGATTGACTATTTATGGTAATATTTACTTACTATCAAGGAAAATACGGTAAGACACAATTAAAATATCTTACGAGTATTGTAGCATTTTATTATTATGTAAAGGACACCGGATCTTAACCCCATATTAACCAGAGTGGGGAGCGCCGATGTGCCAGGCCTTAGGGGCCGTTCAGGCACTGCTCCCTTGCAGGCGCCAATCAATGGACGTACTACTTGAGAGATGATTTTCACAACCGGGTGCACTATATATAGTTAGGCCTAGCCGAAGTCGACGTACTTCGGTAATTTGACTGAGTTTGTCTAAATTCTATTATTCAAAAGGCTTGAGTAGTGTCATAATTTAGTAAAACTATCTATTTTGTTCATGTAAATCCTTGTTTAATTTATTGCATTGTGGCTCTTCCAGTTCAAACGTAGTATACTTACGTAGTTAACCTTCTCGGAACTTCTGCAGCTTTTTATAGAAGTTTGTGTTTCGATGTTCGAAATACCATTCGTTAACCGTTACATAGGATGAATGTGTGATTCGTACAAATCGTAATAAAAATGGCCTCTGACTGTATCTATAGCGAAACTAAGAACTATCGTCCTTATTTCGTTTGATATTGTTTAAAATCTATAATCGCAATGTATCGCCTACATTTCAGACTAAAAATATAAATAGTTTCTAATGGCATAATAAAAAAGTGCAATAGAAATAAAACTTCCATTACTAATTGTCGTTTACGTCCGAGCATGCATAATTGTTTACAGTTTCGTACGGAATATTTTAATTGAAACAAAAAAGTATTTTTATCACTCGCATGGCCAGTTATAATTTATATTACAGAAACTTTAGGTTTTAAAAAACATATTACATGTAAAAGCACATGCATATTTATGTGTTTTTTTATAAACTATTTATCGTATCTGTGCAATGTTCTGCTTTTAAGAAGTTATGAGTCATAAGCACAAAGCAAAGCTCTTATTAGTAAGCGCAAGTCGCTTATGAATCAGACATGCAAGCAAGTTGAGATTTATGTGAGGTTATTTTAAACAAACCGACCGACACATCTCAAGTCTTGTTCTTTGTGTTTAGTTTTGCCAGGCGTCCGGATAAAGCTGGACATAGGTAGGCTTTTTGATTTTGTAGCCGGCCAAAATAAACGGTGTCCGGGTTGTCCGGCTTTTGTTAGGATTTTTACATTGCGACTCAATAATCTAGGAAAATTTCTTTCTATCCAAATGTCCGAAGAAACTGGCTGGTGTGTCCGGCTATTAGGTTTGACGACCTGGCAACCCTATTGTGTATCGTGATACTTTGAGTAGTTACTGCGAAATGTCTTTCATAAAAATGTGCTATTAAGAGTCGGGCAGGACACTACATCTCATATCCGGTCTTCGTTACGCTGCCCCTTTCTTTTCATATACAGTATGATGCTTAAGCTGCAATACAAGAATATACTGTTATCTCTTTTCTTCCTAAGAGAAAAAGAGAGATGACGATAAAACTGTTCAAGTGTTTCTGTAATGGAATTGGAAGTAATAGAAGCTGTATAGAAGATACACTCACCAGCTGATGGAAGCGTTTGTCTGTGGGGTTGGCCATAGCTGGGTGTTAGTGCGCGGTGCTTGCGGTGTCAGCGGCATGCATTAGTAAATTGTTCTCGTGCTCGGCTGCAATGAGACGTATTGTCGTAACCAAATATTAGTCTTGTTACAGGACATGCAAACAAAATGCTATCACAAGATTAGTAAAAAACTATACTGCGACACACTTATCTGGCCCGGTGAGCTATTACCACACAAGTCAAGAAAATAAAAAACAGCTACAGCACTTTACTGTTCTTGTGTGCAAGTTTTAGTTATGCCCCCGGGGCAGATTAGTTAATCGGTCTATAGTAAGCTGTGAGTTAGAGATATGTAAACATTGAAATGTGGCATCAAAACTTCGTTGGAAAGCTATAATATAGGCATCTTAGTATTATTATTATAGTTTAGTAGATGGTTTATTATCGTTACGAATGATCGGTGGTTGTAAGCATGTAATCTACAGGTAGACATAAATTAAATGTTATACAGATATGTCTATACAACTAAAATATCGTGAAACATATGAAGAATAAGAAACCTTAATATTAATTATCATAGCATTCCCATTACATGCAAATGGCATTTAAATGTCATTCACCAAAATGATAATTGATAAACGGATTCCAAGTGATTACCTGTAACAAAAAAAACTGTACATTAAAGATTAACCAAACTTTTTTGTCAAAGAACCTTTTCTTAACTCTACTAGTTCTAACACAATAGGTATGAGAATCTCCGCCGTGTCTACCTTTTTTTGAAACTTTTACTATAACCCGTAACTTGAGACCTGCAGCGCCCACAACGGGCCGTTATCGCCCCTTTGGGAAAAACTGCTTTAGAGAGTCCTGGACCACTTTAGAAATCATTGCTTCATATTTCACCGCATTTTCATGTTACTCGGGCTAATTCAGTCATTGTTGTAACAATGAATGAAACTCGGACATAATTGACCGCGTGTCATCAGTATTGTTTTGTTTCACAATCAGTTTAAGCGGTAGTGTGATTGTATCGCTGGAAACAATGATTTCCAGCCAGCAAACATGTACGAAATATAGTTGTCTCCGTTTTTACAATAGAAAGGAACGGGATGAAAATATGTATAATAAATATGTTTGACAGTGGATACCTCCGGATTCAATTATGTAATGCACATATCTAATATACACATCATGAAACGAATTGATTAATTTCAAGTTTTATAATATTACTAGCTGTCGTCTGCAACACCGTCCGCGCGGAATTAAAAAATAACCTAAGTAGTAAATTTCAGCGAGATCCATGTCGCCGTTATGGAGATACCTTCAAACAAACATCCATCCATCTTTTTAAAGACTTACATTTATAATATTATTAAGAAATCTATTCGGATTTATAAAGACAGATATATTTGATACGTATAATTAGTAAACTATAATTTTAATCAATCACAAATAATATTGACATTTAATTGTCCTAATTTCAAAGTATGATTACGATCGTTGATTCGTATCTTCTATCTTATTTGAACGAATTATACATTAACTGGCTAAGTCGTGAGGCAAATGTAATATAGTACACGCAAGTGGGAGGCACCCGGTTTATAAGTAGAGATTTCATGGCTGTTTAGCTTAACGTGCTGGTCGCATTAGGGTAAATACATCGCATTGAAAAACAGGACGCATACAGACAAAAAGAAAGTATAGCGTACAATTTAAAGTGAAAAATATCAGTTGGCAATTTAATATTTAAATGTTTATCTCACACTTACTTGCTAATACTTCAATGTTTCCTTAAATATATTTTAAATTCTTTATTTTGTGGTATACAAAAACAATTTTACGTAAGTAAAATTTCAGTAAACGGCAATACGGTAGTCTCGGGAAAATTCAGTTTTCATGGACACCTGACAATATTAATAACATGCCCATATCCCACGCGGTGCACGGTTAAATCAGGAAACTGACGTTTACTCAAACCCTCCCTTAGCACGCTACAAACATAATACAGGAACTAATAAAGATATTTCTACCTGAATTTCGTTTGAACGTTATTTAATTTTAAGCACCTGCTTTATCAGTGCAATCCATAGCACTTTTATATGAAGCCATATTCTTCGAGACTTACAATAATACCCTACTAATCCGCTACTCATAATACGTATTAAAAATGACAGAAAAAAAC